CGTCAGCTGCAGCTTTTCGGACGGCGATGTTCAACGTGGATCTCGGTAACACACACATATGTATGTGTGTGTTACATGGTTGGGGGCGCGTGACCCCATACCTGTAAGACTAGCCATACGAGCCGAAGGCCCAAATACTTCACACACATATGAAAAACTTATCAGAGTAAGGTTTCTCTTCGGCGTGCTTCAGATTGAGTGCAGTGCGACCTGTTCGGGCCCAGGACTTCCTGGTCGGGTGGAAAAGCCGTAATGCATTGCTGGTAGGTCTGCTGTATTAGCTCGATGAGCTCGAACAATAGGCGGTGTTGTCATGCGGCGTTGTCATGGCGGCGTTGCGCGCTAAAATTGGCTTATATATTTTTTATTGTCATTCAATTATGTGAAATTGCATTATTCCGATTATTGTTAAATCCTACATGTTTTACTACCTTCGCGTTCACGAGCGTTCACGGATAAGTTGAGTATGCGAAACAGGCCCGCGACGATAAAAAATGTATATTTACTACGTGTTCTAGGGGCTGAGGCCATTTCATAGTTATTATTATAAATTTTTATATAAATTTTTATATATATATATGTATATATATATATATAGATTTTATATAGATAATGTCATATGGAGAGGGTGGACAAGCGTCCGCGACCTGCAGTTTGTCGGGGGTTCTTCCGAGGTCGGGCCCCGGGGCCCCATCGGTGAGTTCTCTGCGGCCGGGTCAGGCCTGGCCTGGCAGCTGTGCATGGCTGGGCACGTACGACTGTGGGGCTTGATAAGGAGCAATAAATGGTGAAATGTGGTTTCATAGCGTAGACACTCTTACCTTCTCCCGTTTTCTCCCGTACAGGTGAAGCATCGCGTTTTGAATGACGAATGCGTCTTGGCATTTGGTTATAAGTGTTCATAAGAAGATAACAGCCATCGCAGTTCAAACCGGCCAGAACGTCTTCATACGGGCCGCCCAGGCGGGCGTCTTTGCCGTGGTACGGAATCCGGTATTAGGCGCAAAATATTTAGCTGTTCGTGTTTACGCGGCTGCAGGGCACAAGACTATTACTGCTGCTGGCTTTCACCGGGCTCTCGGTCCGCACAAAATACATACAATTCCTCGTCATTTACTGTTAGCTCTTCCACATCCGCATCGAAACCTAATGCCCTGCTATTGCATGGGCAACCAAAACGCATCCCTCAGCAATGCACTTGCTGCTGCCTTGCCTAGGCTCTCACACCTTTCCAGCAGCGCTGGTGCTGCCTTGCCCTCGCAACTCATCACGTACTGATCGATCCAAATCATGCTGGACAGCCAGACTCCTACATGCATGATCATTTGCCGTGACTGTTCCTACGTACCAGGGTTGCCTTGCCCCGGGTATTTTTTATTAGCAAGCCTGCTAGTATTGGAGTATTAGTATTAGTATTAGTATTAGTATTAGTATTAGTATTAGTATTAGTATTAGTATTAGTATTAGTATTAGTATTAGTATTAGTATTAGTATTAGTATTAGTATTAGTATTAGTATTAGTATTAGTATTAGTATTAGTATTAGTATTAGTATTAGTATTAGTATTAGTATTAGTATTAGTATTAGTATTAGTATTAGTATTAGTATTAGTATTAGTATTAGTATTAGTATTAGTATTAGTATTAGTATTAGTATTAGTATTAGTATTAGTATTAGTATTAGTATTAGTATTAGTATTAGTATTAGTATTAGTATTAGTATTAGTATTAGTATTAGTATTAGTATTAGTATTAGTATTAGTATTAGTATTAGTATTAAAAAAACTTGTAACTATTAGCAAGGCTGCTGCTCATGCAACCCTTGGAAGCTTCTTTGGTCTTACATCCCAACGAGGAAAGATCGAAGCATAAATATGATTCTCGAAATGTTACATGTAAGTTTGTGTTATTCGGCACTACCTACGTATGTTGTAGGTACGGAAGTGTACGTACTTCGTACGTGCCGAGACCCGCGTTGAACCCCATCCACCAACTGAGCAAATGTACAAATCACCACCTTGCCATCTACCTCCTACCAAAACTAATAGAGCTAAAACTAGACAAGTTGGAAAGCATGTACATATACCGCCGCACGACCATCTTGTACCGAGGCTACCTTACGACAGCTAGCGACGGCAAACAGCAGGATCAAAACGAGAGAGGGGGGCCCTTGAGCTCTCACACGCACTGATAAATCCTGCAAATATTCTCATAAAATTAAATACCCAACCCGACAATCCTTAGTCAAGCCTGTAGAAGACTGGTAATAAGCTGCTGCTGTCCACTTCAGCGAATAGTGCCTGCTGCCCGTTTTTCAACGAGTTTCGTAGCAGCGCCAGCAGCTGCTGCTGTCCACCGTCTGACCCAGAGAATTGCATGCACTGGGGGAGGCTTATGGAGTTCCCTGATGACCTGATGATCGCGCAAACCGTTGCGCCGCGCTGCTAGCTACAACCTTGGTAAATAAAAAACTATTAGGAAATTGCGTGAGCGTCATGGAG